GTAAGTGCATTAAGTAAACAATTTATTATAAATAAAGGTTACTAAACATTGGACGTTTTATCAACATTTATACTATATCTTTATCTTTAAATAGCTTTATGTATAAATAGGGTGATAAAAAAGTTTGACCACAAAGTTTTGTATTTATCATATTATTAGTATATTTACGAAAGAATAAACTCTAGATAGAGAGAGAGAGTGTTGGTTCTTATTAAATATCAAATAATAATTAACATTCAAAATAATCATACATACTAAAACTATTTATATCTGCTAATTTTTACAATTCGCACTTACGTTTATAGGAATTGGACGAAATGCTATCAGCACTAACGGAATTACGGGACATAGTTCTCGAGAGCGATATATCGCCGTTTGAAATGAATTACAGCGGCCTTATCAAGGCTCTGTTGAACTACCTCACTACCACGGATGCACCGGGTAATCGTTACGACCGTCTTCGTATGTTTTGGAAATTGTTTGCGGAGTCTACCGTAAGTAAAATCGATCTTTCTGCCCTTCTCCACTTCAAATGAATAAGTAATCCTTGTGATACAATTTATCCAGATGCAACAGAACAACGATATAATGGATCTTAATCCTGGGGCGTTTGGTGCTTTAGTAACGAAATTGAACAGCTGTGTTGCACAGCTAGAACAATTCCCAGTGAAAGTTCACGATTTACCTGCGGGTTCTGGCGCTGGCCGTGGCGGTACCAGTGCTCTGAAATTCTTCAATACGCATCAACTTAAGGTAATTATCTAAAATATGTAACATTTTTACATATTTAATTACCACAATAAAAACGCCGAAATATTTTTCTACGCAACCGTTTCATTGAATTGTGCAGTGTAATCTTCAACGGCATCCGGACTGTAATAATTTGAAACAGTGGAAGGGCGGTACTGTAAAAATAGATCCGCTTGCACTAGTACAGGCGATTGAGCGTTATTTGATGGTACGCGGATACGGCAGAATACGGGACGCTGACTCGATGGTCAGTGATGACGACAATAGCGAGGATGACATTGATGATACTCTGGTATATACCTTTCCAATGGACTATCTATCTTTAGATTAGAGAAAACCGATAAAATCGGTGGGAGCGACTCTATTTGTCGCTTTTCTTTCCAGGCGGCAGTTGTGATAAGCCAAGGACCGCCGAAACATAAACTTCAGTTTTTAATTGGCGACGTGGTCCTACCTTTCAACATGACGGTTTATCAAGCTGTCAGGCAATTTGGATGTTCCGGAGTGGATCACTCGGAGGCAGAGGCCGATAGTGAACCACCACTTGGACACGATGCGGTATGGGTGCAAACCCATACGATATACTATAGGTATTTTCAAACATTCAGACATTAATTTCAGAAATTTTAAAGTATATACTTAAAACTTATTTTGTAAAAATGCTACGCCGACAATTTAACGATGTCACTGTCGTTAAAAGTTACAAAACTAGTGCTGATATATTTTTTTTTTTTTTAAGAAACTTACAAATCGACTTTTATACTGATCCGAAAAGAAATATTTTATTTTTTCTGAAATCAGACCTGTACCAGAAGAAGATGCTGCAACCTCTCCAAAATCAGGGTCGAGCTCACAGGGTAATAGTAGGAAGGGCAAGGGAAAAAGTACAAAGATTAGTTCAAAGAGAAAAGAAGATAGTCTCTGGCTAGAAGGCACGGTTCCTCTTCAACATTGTCCCCTCGCGCCATATCTATCTCCCACATTACCACCCTCGGTAACTATCACGGACGCCTCTCTCGATGGGTTGTGTCTTTTGCGGCTCTTGCACGCTCTTAATCGCCATTGGGGCATACTGTTCCCTCATCTAAAAAGCATGAGCCTGCTATCACCTCAGGACTTCATCAATAATAAGATCGCCGCGAAAGCCAGCAGGCAACTGCAGGATCCACTGGTGATCATGACTGGAAACTTGCCATCTTGGTTACAACAGATAGCGTCTGTCTGGTTAGTAGAGCGAATAGCTCGATCGTTGATTTAATTTTACTAATTTTAGTATAATTCAAGAATTTATTTACAATATTTAATTTCAATTTCCAGTCCTTTTCTCTTTCCATTTGAGACGAGGCAGCTTTTGTTGTATGCAACATCGTTTGATCGAGATAGAGCACTACAACGTCTCTTGGATTCCGCGCCAGAACTTTCAGGATCAGACAGTCAGGAGCGTGTTACGCCACGCTTAGAACGAAGGAAGAGAACTATCTCGAGAACGGACATTCTTAAGCAAGCGGAGCTAGTGATTCAAGACTTAGCCTCTAATAAGGCCTTACTTGAAGTGCAATACGTCAACGAGGTCAGTTGGTTTTTGTGCACACGTCCTCCTTGGACTGTCAATCTTATTGCAAGTCTCTAACGTAGTATTTATATTACAGGTCGGTACTGGTCTCGGTCCAACTCTGGAATTCTACGCTCTAGTCTCTAAGGAACTGCAACGCGCTGATTTAGACTTGTGGCATGGCAGTTCGAATCCTACTGAAAACGGATATGTTAATTCCTCGCACGGGCTCTTCCCGACGCCAATCCCATGGAACACTAAAGTATCGCATCTAGCAAAATTGAAGACCAAGTTCAAATTCCTTGGGAAATTCATGGCGAAAGCAATATACGATTCCAGAATGGTAAAAATTAGCATATCTTATTCGTAAAATCTTTTCAAATCTCTCTTGGATTATGTTCTTAACATATTGAATTGTCTCTTTTAGTTGGATTTGCCATTTAGTTTAACCTTCTATCGTTGGTTACTGGGAGAAGAACATACTCTTACATTAGCCGATTTGGCATACGTATGTCCCGACGTATATCGCACTCTTAGCAAGCTCCAGGAGGTCGTGAGGAAGAAAGAAGCTATGGAGAAGGACCAGACACTACGACCGCACGAGAAAGCGCAATTAATTGAGGCTCTCGATTTAGACACGTGCCCCATTTCTGAACTAGGTCTTGTGTTCGAATTACCGGGCTACGAGAATATCGAATTGAGGAAGGGCGGTAGCGAAATATCCGTTACTATTTACAATCTGGATCAATATATTAAGGTAAATGCATATCTCTTTCTCATTCATTCTCGATGTTCTCCTTCGCCAATGTCGTTTGAGGAATCACAATGATCACGCAATCTCTGTAAAATTTCAGTTAGTGGTACACTGGTTCTTGTATGAAGGAGTATTCAGACAAATGGAGGCTTTCCGGGAAGGTTTCGAGTCGGTATTTCCTCCGTCGCAACTGAGACTATTCTTCCCAGAAGAACTGGAGGCGGTATTTTGCGGCCACGCACAAACCGGCGGACAATGGGACGTGAAAACTCTTGCTGAGTGCTGTAGGACCGATCATGGTTATACACCGGACTCACGGGCCATTCGTTTTCTATTCGAGGTCATGTCCAAATACCACAGCGAGGAACAACGACAGTTCATTCAGTTTGTCACCGGTTCACCGCGTTTGCCCGTTGGAGGTAGATACTTTGCTATTCTCATTTTTCATTTGTATCATCATAAGTTAGAGAGATTAGCGGTAAAGTGTGCATGCTTATATTTTTCAGGTTTCAAAAGCTTAACCCCTCCGTTAACAATAGTGCGCAAAACCTTTGATCCGTCTATGAAGACAGACGATTTTCTACCATCAGTAATGACTTGCGTTAACTACCTAAAACTGCCTGATTATACCACTTTGGAAATAATGCGGGAAAAGTTGCGGATAGCCGCGCAAGAGGGTCAACACTCGTTCCATCTCTCCTAGAAACGGATGGAAAATCGGCACCTCATTTTCTCCTTTACTCTTACATTATCCAGATCGCGAATTATCCAAACTTCGTTTAAGATCTACGTGAAATTACGTATGTTGTCAGTGAGCAAATTCAACGTCGCGATGATTTTTATCCTTTATGTGAGTTCTTTTGAGAACTTTTTATTTCTTGAAACAAAAAATTTGTCGGAGCGACAGTTTTCTTTTGATGTTTATATCTTTGCAATTTGAATTGTGATATGTTTTGATCAGAAAGAAAAGTGCAAAGTTGCATAATTAACCGAACCGTGCGAGTTTACGCTCTCGCGAATGCTACAAACCGAGTGGCTTGCGAGCGACCTCGTTTTAGGAAAAAGAAACTTATCTTCAGTACGTTACAATAAAAAAAAGGAAGATTGTAAATATAGTTTAATATACACAAGTCGATATAAATACTTTATATAATAGTAACGAGAAAAATGATATTGCTATGGAAAATACTATACTAACTGAACATAAAATAGCCCGAGCGAGAAAGAGAAAAAGGAGGACGTTTACTAGATATAAGTAAATTTTATATCAGTGGTGCATTAAAAAGCATCGCCATACGTCGCCAATCCCCCGCGATCGCGGAAGACATGAAAATTTACATGCTAAAATCAGCAACGAGACGCGCACGCCCGTGATGAAAGCGTGTGAGCGCGTGTCTTGTCGGAAACAACGCTATTTCCGGATACAGACACATACACAATATCGTGTCTCTCGCTGCTATTCTCTATTTTGTAATCGATCTCTTCGTGTTCGTCGCTTTTAAGTTTCAACGATCGAGAACGCAATGCGTGAGTCACACACTCCTACATTTAAGTTCAATCAATGTGTAACGCTCATCAACGTTTATTTGATATTTCTATTCTAAGTAAATTAGCCCGACCGTTTACTTTATTTAGCAGTATAAGAGTGCAACCGGAATCGCCAAGGAATCACCATCGTGACACGCGCGTGAATCGAAGGGAAATTCCGATATTCATTTACTTACAAGAAAATCATCGTATTTAGAGGGAAAAAAGAAAAAAAAAGAATTGTAAGAGAATTGTATGATACAAAATAGAATGGATATATAAAGTAAGTGAAGCTGGTGTATCAAATGGATAATACAAGGTACATTACTTTCTTATGTCATCGCAGAAACCGCGGAGTCTATATAAGAAACTGTACGAGAGAGTGTGTGAGGCAAGTTAGTCTATACTTTTGTTCAATTCAAATTTTATGTACATCGCACACACGCGAGCGGGCGCTTTCTTCAATTTGTTATATCCTCCAGAACTCGCGGATTTGAAAATCACATACCTTCATTAGCGGAAGTTGTAATTTATGTTGTCATTATCACTATAAAATATTTTTTCTTCTTTTTTTGAGATATACTGTACTGCTGATGTCAATGTACCTTACATTACCACGATTATACGTTTATTAAGCGTGTGAACACGTTTGCAATTTTTAAAAAATATTTTTCACTTTGTGTGAGGACGAATCGCGCGAATGATAGCGCAAGGAAATTAATACAGGCAAAGGAGATCAGGAAACTTGGATATGCACTATTGCAAAATGTGTAACCGTTCAGGATACGCGAAAAACCCATGTCATTAATATTATAAACAAAAGATATATTTATATCGATTCAGTAGTATATAAACGAATTTTACTTTATTCATATCGGAAGATCTTTTTTTATTTTCTTTTTTTTCTTCAAAACCTTCAATAAACGCATAGGTATAAATCGCCAAAGGAATGTACCTCTTAAACACATTGGATGAGACACAAGCATCGGGAATTGAACAAGAGACATACTGTTATTTTCTAAGGAAATATTTAAAGCCCATTCTCGAATAACCGTAAAATGATATTTTTATTTACTTTTATCTCAATTATCTTCTGGAAATAAAATCAATCCATAATTGCGAGTACACCCATTAATATTCATGTTAAAAAGTTGTTTTATTTTTATTTTTTTTTTTAAATCTTTTTCTGTAAATTTTAATCATCCATTTCTTAATGTTACCAAGTATTATTTTCATTTTTTTTTTATACTGCGCATTGTGTTGCTTATGCCTTATTTGTTTCCTTGTATGAAAACACCTATTTCTACAGCGATATTTACAAGAACATACTGCACCACGCCAGTATAAAACAAAATCCCCCAATAGGTGTTGTTGAACTGAATCGTCTGTTATTGGTAAATGCAGTATAATAACAACTTCCACAGAACAGTACGATTCCAGAGAGCATGAAAGTCGCAGCCTATAACACAAAGTGCATGTGAAATTATGCAAACTCTATACTTGATACAATTATTACGGATTAATGACGTTCTACTTACCAATGCTGGGAACTTGCACAACGGTAATCCCAGCAAGGCCAAAGTGTGTATAAAATGATATCGATTCGCTGTTTCGAAAATCCGACGTTGTTCCTGTCCTATCTCATCTTTAGGGTAATGTCCTGTAGAGCAGAGCATTCGATTGAGTCGAGTCTCGTGTTTATACAGGTTTAAAATAATACATGCCATTTTTTTTGTAATTCACTTACGGTGGGATCCAAGGGCGCCAAGAATCACAGCTGCTGCACCGCTGAGAGCTGCAAGCCTCACATACGGACCGCTGGCAGCAGCTAATTTCCATAAAGGTACTGGCGTTGCCATTTTCACTTCGATTTTCTGCTTTCCGCCTAAATACCTTGTCGCCTGACAGACCGTAATTGTTTCATATTATTTTTCATAAAAATTTAAATGTTAATACTTATATAAATATAAATTATGTTTTATATAAATAATATTAAGTTCTCTTATGTTCATAACTACTGGTTGTTTAGCAAGTAAACAATTATTGCTGATAATTGTAGGCTGTTATTAAGTTTTTATCAATATTCTTTAATTGTTTTTAATTAGTTTTCTGATAGAAGCACTATCATTATATATATATACTAATACTTGGTAGCCATTTTAAAATAAATGTTTGATTGCTTACGTAAATGTTTGTTAAAAAACCACACATGACATTGCACATTGCAAACATAAAAATGTAAAAAAATTCATTATTCCTCAATGCTTGCATTGAAAAGACAACAATAATGAATTAATTAAATACTCAATTACGCAATTATCTAGATGTTACAACTGCGACAAAAACGTGTCAATTTTTTATTGTAACCTTCATCGCTCGTAAAAAAAACCAATGATAAGAACTGTCATGTGTGCATGTGTGTGTGTGTGTGTGTGTGTGTGTGTGTGTGTAAAAAGAGAAAAAGGAAAAATTTCATGAATTCTTATATTTATTTTTAATTTCAATCAATGTAGATAAACTTTAATCTTTGTTTAACACATTTTTCATTCTTATCTAATTTTAAGACTCAAAAATAAATTAATTAAATTAAGAAAAAATTAAATTACATTGGTATAATGGACATTAGAGCAATTGTTTTCATCAAGCTCCAAACAACTTAATAATGATTCAACTAGCAAAATTATTTATAGCGTAACTTCTAATAATGTATTGTGTTTAATTTAATCTTTTTCTCATATGTGAATAATAAAAAAAATTAATAATTCTATCCATATTATTGAATTATTAAAACAGTATAAGTATTGTTATTGAAACATTTGACGAGTTAATCAGAGTGACTAAGTTTCAGAGTATAAATGTAAACAAATATGTATGTAGTGTTAAGAAAACATATGGAGGAGACATCACCTAGGAGAGGTAGGTTTAACAGCAGACACGAGGTATGGGATCTCTGTCGTTTTGCAAGACTACGAGACTAGACATGCTACATTGCCATAAGCTTACCGACGTGGCCGCATCCCAAGCATACGAGGCAGCCCCCGCACTCGTTTTGTGAATAACATTAAACGGCATAGTGACTGCAGTGTACATAACGTCCTGGAAGCCCATCCCGGGTCGCGTGCCACTGTACAGGACGAGCCGAGTGTCAATTTACGTACGTGCATACATACATATATTGGATAACAGTGATCCGGTGCGGCCGCATTCGCGTTCCTTTCATCTGTTGTCAAGGTTGTCACCTTTTCTGCGAGCGTCAAGCAGCCGAGCCATGCGATTAATCACGAGAAATACTTCTAACTTGAGCGATAAATACAACTGCACCGTCAAATGCAAACGCACCGGATACCATCAAGCTATTCGATTGTACTTACCACTTACCACTGCTATTGACTGCTACTCGATTTCCAAGTTCCAAACTTCCAACTCGCAATCTATGCGCGAATTACCGTCATTACCGGCAACAACAAACTGGCAAACTGCGACAAATCGACGAGGAATGCGCCATCTTGGATAATCGAACGCGAATTCGTACGTCATCTGTTCTTTTGCAGATGTGTGATTTACACCTTCTGCTTACTTGAAATGTGAAAGGAACTGTGCGTTGGAGAAAAAAAGATGAAGGACGGAAAGTACAGGAAGTGCAATTATAAGGAACACTTCTCATTTGAATAAACAATTATAATTTGTAGCTGATTGATCTTGGTATCGTCTCTTTCTTTTATAGCGTTTTCGGCCCGATCGGGTTTGCACCAACCTGGGTTGGATTAATCTTTCCTATTGGTTGATGTCACACGCTCTACCAATAGGAGAGCGCAAAACGCCATTAATCCAACCCAGGTTGGTGCAAACCCGGTCGGGCCGAAAACGCTATTACTTTCGTCCTTTCGAGTAGATAATCATTTTTTATCAAAACTTTGATTAGAAAAGTATTTAATATGCAAGGAACAATAAAAGCTGCGCCATAAGATTCCAAAAATAAACATAAAACTTTGATAAATATTCCAAACATATCACTAATTTATATAATATTAAAGAAAAAAAAATATATTTACACTGTTTTGTGATGTTGGGAAACTAGAATAATCTTCAATTCGTTACTTTCACAAATTTCACACTTAATGTTTGAATCTTTATTTATCTATTAATATAATTTATCATTAATTTTTAATGCACAATGTAATTTTACATAAAAATATGATAGAAAAATATCAATTGTCACAAAAAAATGTTCTTGTACTAATATGTGAGCACAAATAATATGTACTTACATAGTGAATATTGTACAAAAAATAAATCATATACAGGGTGTCTCAGAAAATGTTACTGAAACACAGTGGGGACATAGATTGGATCAAGGGGAACAAAACAGTTTTGTACCATTTTGCAGTTGACGCAATATTTAACGAGATATTAACGTTTAAAGATAG